TACCTAAAAAAATACCATTTTCAGTAGAATTATTTTTTGCAACGTTCAGCTTACAGCTGCTTGATTTTCTTCAACCAGGAAGGACAGTCGTTACACTGAGAAAGATGCAGCAGTAGTTGTGCGACAGATGCTTAAAGTTGCTGCTGAATGTCATTTACATGGCTTGGTGCACCGCGACATGAAGCCTGAGGTATCGCCAAGTTTATCAGCATGGATATTAACTTATTTGTAGAATCATGCTTCTGGGGAATGATTACCGTTTATTCCTTGCCTGTAGAATTTTCTTTTCAAGTCAACCAAGCAGGACTCACCTCTGAAAGCGACAGATTTTGGTTTGTCTGACTTCATAAAACCAGGTGAGTCATATTTTCATCATGCGAAGATCTTACTTGTGCTTATATGCATGATGTCTACAAAAAGAGAGAAGGAAGGAAGAAAAAGAACTTATACTTGCTAAGAACTTGCATAATGTGAGTTGTGTGATCAGGCTGATTCCAAAGGCTCTACATTTTAGTTTTACTTGACCAATGAGAGTGCAGTACTCTTGCCAACCAGTGGTTAGCATTTGATTTCTAGCATTTCTTTTGGAACCCATTGTTCATTTATATTATATGATCGGATGGAATGCAGGCAGGAAGTTTCAAGATATTGTTGGCAGTGCCTACTACGTTGCACCTGAAGTATTAAAACGCAATTCTGGACCTGAATCAGATGTCTGGAGTATTGGTGTGATTACATACATTTTGCTATGTGGGAGGCGTCCATTTTGGGATAAGACCGAGGATGGTATATTTAAGGAGGTGCAGTACCATTTTAACTTTTTGACAAGGCTTTTTTCATTCCTGATTCCTTCCTGTCTCTTGTTCTAGCCATTGTAATTAGACAGACAATAGATATGCTAGAGCATTTAGTTTCTGTTATATTGATTTTTGGAAAATGTTTCTTACACTCAATACTCGATATTGGGGACATATATGATATATGATTGTGTGGAATGGCACAAAAGGATCCATATAGTTGTTGTTTTTGTTGGTTACATGTCAATAACCTTCCACAACACTGTACTTCTATGTACATGAAATTCTGTAATTACTTTAAACCGTAGTCAGTTCATTTTCCAAACACAAAGTAGCCAAAATATCCCATCCTCAATTGTGTCGTCATCACAGTTTTTCAAATAATCGTATCCTTTTACTAATGGGTTCTAACAAGACCTTTTTTGCATAGTCTCCCTTTGAATTCCCACTTAATTCATTCACCACATGTTGGATACTTTTTTCTTTTGCATAATTAATGTTAGTTTGTTCTTCAAAATTCTAATAACTAATGGATGCAGGTTTTAAAGAACAAGCCTGATTTTCGCCGTAAACCATGGCCTACCATCAGCACTAGTGCAAAAGATTTTGTGAATAAGTTACTGGTGAAGGATCCTCGGGCAAGACTTACTGCTGCTCAAGCTCTATGTATGTGTCAGCTTATGGAAGAAATAAATGCTTGATTGTTATGATCTATTATAATTAGATGCCTGTGTTGTTTGGTTCTAAAAGAAATCTTTCCTCTTTTTTCTTTCTTAAAGAGTTGATTTCTTGGTTTTCAACTTTTCCAGCACACCCATGGGTCAGAGAAGGAGGAGTTGCATCTGAGATTCCTATTGACATATCTGTCCTGAGTAACATGCGACAATTTGTGAAGTACAGTCGTTTGAAGCAGTTTGCTCTAAGGGTAAAACAAGCTTTGTTTTTGTAGGATTGTTCAAAGGAAAAAGATGGTTTCTTTCATTTTTTTTATATATTTTATGGATTGATATTTTGCAGGCATTGGCAAGCACGATTGATGAAGAGGAACTAGCTGATCTTAAGGATCAATTTGATGCCATTGATGTGGATAAAAATGGTGCTATTAGTCTTGAAGAAATGAGACAGGTAGTTTTCTTTTTGTCAAACCTGTTACATGTTTCCTTGCTATTGAAACCTAAAATTTCGTTCTATGCATTCTGTTCTCAATGAGATACATTTCCATGTATATGGTTTCTGCATTTTGTTGTAACGATGATGGTTTCAATGCAGGCCCTTGCTAAAGATCTTCCTTGGAAGTTGAAAGAATCACGTGTCTTGGAAATTGTTCAAGCGGTAAGTGTGAATTTCATTTCTTCTGAATAGTTTCCGACCCCAAAGTAAAAAAGATGGAATTGAGACTTGAATTTGTTGGTGGAAACCTTCTTATTTTCCCTGTGCTAGTCATTTCTATTTTTCTGCTGCATGAAGTGAGTAATGTAAGATGCATTTTGTCTTTTTAGCGAGGAACATTTTTTCTGTCTATGGAATATAACATTTTTGGCTTTAAAAAGAGGTGTAGGAAGCTCCTAAAACTTGGCAACCACTGGTTCCTTGCTTGTCTAAAGTCTCTCATGCAACCAGGTTTAGTTATCATAATGTCTACAAGTACTTCTGATGAACATTTTCTTCTAGTGGTCATTTGTTCTAATGTTTCTCCATTCCCAATTTTTGTTTTTCATGTTAACCAATATGACATTACCCCACCCTTCTTTCATCTTGCTTCTGAATTCTGTTTTAGATGGAGGATCCACCAAGGTTTTCAGATGTTCCAATATTTGTACTATAAAGATAATGCATTAGATATTAGCTATTTATTTTATTTAAATCATTTCCTTAGAGACTCTTAAGATTCCTTTGGTGCTTGTATATGAAGCACCTATTCATGTGTTTTGGGAGTGGTCTGTGGTGTCATATCAAAAAGCTGTGTATTTCCTCTCTCTATTGCATGTCCCTTTTCTTATTTTTCTTGTCCTCTCATCTAATCTCTGCTCTTTCATCCTGTCTTGCCCGCCCAAAATCTTTTCTTGCTCTTCATCAGTTTTGCTTGTTTTGGAACCTGATGGGGTTATTTATATGTTTGATGCAGATTGACAGTAACACAGATGGACTAGTAGATTTCACCGAGTTTGTTGCTGCTGCCCTGCATGTCCATCAGTTGCAGGAACACAACTCTGAGAAGTGGCAGCTGCGGTCACAGGCTGCTTTTGAGAAATTTGATATTGACAGAGACGGATATATAACTCCAGAAGAACTTAGAATGGTCAGTGTTATTACTCTGCTTTAAATATCCTAATTCTTCATATCCCTTCCTCACTTAAAACTGAAAACAGAAATGAATAAGAAAAATGTACAGAATAGCTGAGTGAAGGTTCTTATACTTCATGTTTAATTTAAGTGACTGTTCTTGTTTAAAATGCCAACACGTTAAGTGTTCCATCAATGTAGTTCCATTGGCAAAATTAAGCTAAATATTTATCTAATTGCCTAAAAGAACTTTTTAGCTGTTGAAGAAATAGTTTAATTGAGTTTTGGAACAGAATTTATTTGGTGGGAACTATTAAATAATGCATGATGTTTGTCCCATGCATTCATCCTTTTATTTTTGATGTATCACACTTTTTGACATGCGCTTACTATGCCATGCCAAAGTCTCCTTGATCATGTGTAGTACTAGCATTTAAGAAATTCTAGATGGTATCGAAGCTCGTAGTTCGCTTTGTGTTTTCCTAAGGACAAGGGTTGGTTTGTTGTGACTAGCATTACTTTTCGTGTTTCAGCATTGCTCAAGTGATTTTGCTTTATTGCCTTGCAGCATACGGGCTTGAGAGGTTCTATTGACCCACTTCTTGAGGAGGCTGACATTGACAAGGATGGTAGAATAAGCCTTTCAGAATTCCGTAGACTTCTAAGAACTGCTAGCATGAGCTCGCGAAATGTGCCAAGCCCATCTGGCCATCGTAAATCTCATAAAATATAGATAAGAATTGGAGTTTTAAAGACCGAGACTAGCAAGCAAGCTAGAAAAGTGGATCTCCTTTTCGCGGAAGCTGCCCTTCTAGATTATATAACGCCAATTTCTCAATAACCATCCCACCTGGCTCATCTCTTTCTGAAACTCAAGTCTTAAATGGTAGATTTCCTCGTATAACTTGTGTATATTAAAAGATGTAGTGCGTTGAACAGAGAGAGAGGTTTGGTTATAGAGTTGGAACTTTTCCCGGAGGATGGCTCCATAGACGTTATACCAGTCTACATTCTTTTGTGAGTGCGGGGGTACTCCTTGCGGGTGCCCTCTTCAAATTGTAACGTGCAATGCAAGTAACGTATCAATGAAAGGTTGGTGTTTGGGAGTTCAGTGCGTGCCCATCTTTACCCTTACTTAGTATCCCAATTTTTGGCATTCATGAATACTGAAACTGCAGCTATACTTCTCTATATCTCGCAATTCATACTTAAGAGTCTGGTAAGGATGAGTTAGTAACGTCAGGCTAATGAAGATTCCCTCTGATAGAGGCATGTAAAGGAGGTATTAGAGTGTGGATATCAAAATATGATTCTATCAAGAGTCACACAGGCTGCAGAGTGCTGAACAGTGCACAAATCCACGCACTACGTATATTATGCTTAAGCTGATGACAGTAGTTTCGACATGCTTCCTCCAGAAAAGTATTGTTTTCAGAATTTGAGCTCTTGGCTATAATTTTATAAAGAGAGATTGCTAGGCTAAATAAAAAGAAAAAAAACTGTACTTTCTTTCTCCATTGCATGTCTCTTTTCTCATTTTATGATTTGCTGAAACTTGCTTATGATTTCTTTTGTAATCGTTTCACACGGCTGGCTCCCCTTCAGCAACCACTGGCTTTGGCTTTTGAATGGTAAAACCCAGATGCATCTAGATCAGTCATGAAAGAAAATTCACCAAGTGCAGGTTGCTTCACCCCCGACATTATGTTATTCGTACTATTGCAGGCGGTGAATGCTTAACTGGGAATTTCACTCATCTTTCATAGATTGTCGAATGTGAGACTCCAGTCTTTTCACTCTTCTTTCTATCGAGACGCTTGAAACCTTCCTTTCGAAATGATTGCCACAACCAACTAACCTAGATACATGCTGCCTGCATGATGAATTGCAGTGGAAATGGTTATAACCATTTCGCCCAACTCAAATAATTCTAGCATACGATCCATTAGAGTTGTGCTTCACTGAGGCATTTTTCATTGCCATTGTAAAAGCAACAAAATAACAGATTAATTCCAACTGTGAAGGGCTGTGATGCTACATAAAAAGGAACTTACAACAGAAAGGGATGTTTACAACTAAACTGGCTAACCAATGAAAGTATCAAGCATTTTGGAGTGATAATTTACAGTTTTCTCCACCTGTATAAATTGCTCTTATATTGATCAGCAGGCACCTAAAAAAATATCAGACAAACCTTAAGCTTTATGTCAGTTAGTCAAGAACCAGATCAGAATTCTAGAGGAGTAGACTAAGTAAAATGGAGTACGGTGCACCCTCTTCCAGGTCCTTCTGTTGCCGCATATAACCAGGTTGTTACCCCAAAACTCCACTATAACCATAAAGCATGCTGCTTCCATGTTGAAGCTGTTAGCAATGATCTCATGCTTGTCAGGCTAAAGCTCAAATCGAGGAAATTATTATCGAAGTGTCACAACAAACACATAATATCTTAACAGTCAGCACTTAGAAAGCACCGAAGACATGACCTACTGGCAACCTCACTTACTAGGTGTTGGGACATCTCCCATGCTGTTAGAGGAGCATCCCTGAAGATGATGAGCACGAGGAGCTAACATTTGTGATAATTCTTTCCTTTATTTGACACTGCTTGCCTTTCTTTACTTCAGATGATATATCCTGCACGAATGCTTGAAATCAATTTTGTGTCTTCATGTGCCAAGAATTAATGCCTATTAACTTCAGAGTAGACCTGTTGTGCTGATGATCCAGGCATTTTAAGTTCAAGGTCAGTTGCAACATCAGAAGAATCATTGCATCTTTCTTTATTTCTGCCCCCCTGGTGATCTGTTGACTTGGTTCTGGAATCCTGTTTGCTTGAAAATTGGGAACCAGAAGCATACAGAGCAGGTGGCTGATCATTTGGGTGATTTGCAGTTGGGTATGGAATAAATGTTGAACAAGGACTAGCAATGGCACCGGGATTCTGGTTTCCAAAGAAGACAAATGGCTGCAATGACGGGTGCATGGAAATTGGGCCTGGAGAGACAGGTACAGGAACCGGATAAGAATAAGGAGGAATTACAACAGAAGGATCAGCAGCAGCCCATGGGAACATAGCCCTTGTCCTTTGATGATACTGGGCATTTAAATTTTCAGTATCAGCTTTCAAAGATGCCTTCTCTTCCCTGAGCTCATTTTTTTCCTGCATTAGCTGCATAAAATATATTTTCATCAAGCCTGCATTAGCTAATTCTTCTTAGCATTCAATTACATGAGGAATCAAACAGGCATAAAGCACAACAACCATTAGGGACAAGCACAAAAAAACCCACCTCATGGGTTTCTTCTGAGAGTGTCGCACACTCAGCCTTTAGTCTGTTCACTTCAGCTGTTAGATCCTTCAGCACTTGAATTGTGTCTGTCAAAATGGTGGCCTTGTCATTCTTTGGCCTATCTGGGTCTGCATGCAAATGTAAATAAGAAGCAAATAGTTAAAATCAAGCACTTTCACTTTCTCCCAAAAAAAAAAAAAAACGAAGTGCATATTTATAGCTTGTGACTTGTGAGTGGTGAAATTATACTATTTATTCACATTTGTTTGCAAAGCCAATAATTTCTCAAAAAGGAAACCAGCTTATGGAGGTGGGTGCATCAGCAAGTTAACAGCCTAACACACACACACACATCTCTAAAGTAAATCAATTGAATATTATCAGAACTAGAAGTCCAGTAACTCAATGGTGAATAGTACGCAGTTTGAGTTCATGCAAGAGATGAACCATTAAATCATAAAGACAATATCAATCATATACATCCATTAACAAAATGTATCATATTATACAGAAATAACTAGGCTTCCCTTTTCCAATTTTTTAACTCAATTGGGACAGTGAGAGGCAACATGTTCAATTGGCAGAACAAAAGGAGTGCATTCGAGCATGAAGGTACTAATAACCAAGAATAGCAGCAAATTATTACCTAGTGCGGTACCCAATTCAAGAAACTGCTCATTAAGATTATCCCTCCTCAATTTTTCACGGTCTGCCTTTTGAACTTTTTTTGCAACAGCAATTGGATTTTTCACTTCCACTTCTTGCCTCTGCCTGTCAAAAAAAGGTGATACCCCATAAAACAAAACAAAACCTCAAACAGAGATAAGAACTTAAATCAAATCTGCACTTTAATAATAAAAGCTTGCAAACCACATTCAAACTCAATAACTTCCCATCACCACAAACAAAAGTCATGCTAAATTATAGTACAAGAATGAACCTTCACCAAAATAGACAGTTCAAAAACACCTAAAAAAAGAAACAAACTTCAACCAAAACCCAGAAACCAAAACTCAAAACTGAATCACAATATCAACAAATAGAATCAGATCAGTCGTGTTAATTCTAGATTTGATTACGAAAAAAAGAAAAAGAAAAACAAGAACCTGGGTTCAAGAGCTGAGTTCTGAAGACGAGTAGAAGAGCGGGGTGGGAATGACTGAAGTGAATTTGAAGAAACCATATTGGTTGTTGCAGCAACGAAAGATTGAGCGTAGTCATTTCTTGTGTTCCATTGATCCATTTTTTCACTTGAACTACCTGGCCTTCTTTGTCTATAGTTAATGAAAAGAAACAGAAAGGATTAAAGAGGGCTAATTTTTTGGTTAAAAGACTTGATCCAAGATTAAGAAGAGATATAATTGAAAAAGTTTGCCACCACCATTACCACCAACAAATCAAAAAATAAACAAAGAACTCGTGCTTTCCACGAGACAATAACGTCATGTGGCTGCCCATACACATACGCATTCCAACCCAAAGCTCTCTCTGTGTTTTGTCAATTATCGGAATGTAACTTTGGTTTCTGGTTGATGGAGACAACACATATAAATAATTGCCAATGGCTTGTGCGGTCCACGCTCGCCAAGTTAAACGACATGTCGTAAGCTCAAACTCCAATAAGAGGATGACCTAATTCTTCAGATATTTTCTCAGGCTGAAAATGATTTACTTATTAAAGAAAATTATCCTTTCGTTCGTCTGCAGCCGTAATAGGAAAAACTATGTAAAAAAATAGTTAATTTCAGATACAGAAATACCTTATTGAAAAGAAATTTAGACTGCAAGTAAAATAATTTAATTTTGATATATAAGAACTGGGATCCATATATATATACATGGAATTATACTTTAGCCATTTGAGACTTGGATGCAATTGCTAGATGGAATTATACGTTAGCCATTTGAGACTTGGATGCAATTGCAAAATTTAAACTAATTTACTAAAAAAAAAAAGGCACTGGATAGTAGCTAGTCACTTTTATCAAATGAGTGTTTTTTTGGGTTTTTAGATTATTAAAAATAAAATTTGATGGAATAACATAACTCAAAAAATATTTTAAAAATAATATAGTTTAAAAAGTTACATATATATCATATATGACTCAAGAGTTGCAGATATTATCTACGAATTTAAATAAAATTTAAAACTAGAGCTCATTTTCTTCCCCCTTCCCTTCTCGAGATCATCGTCTCTATCTCTTTTGCTACTGTGAATCAAGCTTTTTCTAGCCAAAACCATTACCATTAATCACCATTACCATCCATATTTTACACTTCGAGGTATAATCAACACCTTTTCTTTATCAATTTGATGTAATTTATGTTAATGTGTTAATTTTGATTCAAAAAAATATTTGGGTTTAGAATCATGGATTTTTTTTTTGAAAAATAAGGTTTTTTATAATTAGGTTCATAACATATAATTTGAGTTGATAATTATATTATTTTATAAAATAATAAATGAATTTGGATTGTTGTTGATTGTGAATTAAGGTTAGAGTTAGGGTTTATATAGGTTAAATTATGAATTATACCGAATTAGGTATAAAATAAAATAATTAGCTATGAAATACATGAATTGGGTTGATAGTTTTATTATAATTGTGAAATTTGAAGAATTTATTTTTTGGTCGATTAATTTAATGAATTCAAAGTTGGTTTTTAGATTTGTTTTGCCGATATGTAATTAGCGGTTGTATTGAGTTGTGTATTATATCAATTAAACATAAGGTGACTAAGAGTTCCATGACTTAGTTTTTTTCAAAGCTCATTAAATATCATCAATATTATTCATGACATTTTATAAGTAACTTCAACACTAAATTTAAAAATATTGTATAGAAAAATATGTTATATAGGATATGCATAAATTCTTCAAAATAGAAGTTTAATATTTTATATGAGGATCTAATGGAAAATGATGATGTGATCAAAGTATGGCTAGAAGTTGAACATAAAAAAGAGGGCACTCTCGTATGATTTTGATGGTTGTCATTATGATAATATGACAATGAATTTTTCAAAGATTTTTAATAATGTTTTGAGAACTATACTTGACTCGCATTTATGAGCTATAATACAAATAACTTTTTTAATTGTAATAAATAATTTGTAGAGCACCTAGAAAAAGTTGGATAATTTTTAAGTCGTGATGTATTGTGGCCTCTTAAAGGTCTTAGCTAAATTACTTATTGATGTGGCAGCTTTTAGATCACACATGACAACTTTATTTGATCTTGGAATGAGGTTATTTTAATTTGAGACACCCCCAGTAGCTAGTGTTATAAGAGAAGCCTAAGAAACGATTAACATTGATAAGCAACTTGTACACATGGTAAATGAAAATTATATCAACAATAATAAATTATATCAACAATAATATTCACACCTAATTGCATGTCACACTTTACAAAATATAGACTATGCGTAATTTGTTGATGATTTTTACTCCAAGTTGTAGTACAAAAGTACATATAGTTCTATTTTTCAACCTTTGCCTGATATGCCATTATGATATGCACATATTGATCTAGATATGTATGGATGTCCAACTAGATGAAAAACAAATAAGGTTCGAAGAAAATCCACTCATATGCATAATAAGATGAAAGCTAGAGAGGGGTACTCACTGAATAAACATGTCATATGATGTCAAATGGGTTGTAATAGAAAAACTTGTAAAACTAGACAACATATGCTAATAACTGCATTTGTTTCAAATTATATAAACTTAAAATATTGTTATTAATTCAACTATATGGATATTAAATTGTGTTGCAATGCTAATAGTCTTTTATATAAAACCTTGATGGAGGCATGGTTTGGACTAGAAGATGTTCATCTACTTTTAGAAATGCTGACAGATAGGAGCACCTGGTTATTAAGGCAGGTCCAAATGATATGTCAGTTCTAAATATGTAAGATTAGTATCATTTAGATGATATTTGAAGTGAAGAGGTCATACATCTAGATTAATGTCATTTTTAGATAACTATTTTAATTATTTTAACTGTTCAAATAACTAAATTACTTGATTTTCAAGGAGGTGATCTTGTAACATCTCAACAATAAACATTGATGGAGTTACATGAGCATATTGACACGACTAAAAGATTGATCCACTTGGTTTTATATGCTCAAATATATACATTGCATATGTTTAGAGGTCTTATTTTCACTACTATTGCAGGCAATGCAATACTCGTGTTCTTTCAGGTGTTACTCAAGGACTTCTAGGCCATTCTAGTCGGGGGGATATGCTTTTATATCTCTACCAGTAACAATGTAAAGTATGTTTAAAGAATAAAAGATAAATTGCCAAGTGTCTAGTATACTAATTTAAATTCTTTGATTGTTAGAATTAACTATATTTTAAATACTAATTGAGAATTGTCAATGTTAATTAATATAGCTTTAATCAGGGGAGTATATTCATATCGAATATCTAGAAAGTTAGAGTAATAATATGTTGGACATTATCACTAAGAGGTCGCTATCCATTTATTCTAGGTAATAATAAAATAAAATAAAATTTAATCAATATGTTATTTATATAAATTGAATGAAAAATGTACTTTGTGGCTTGACATGTTAGGATGGTGTGATGATAAACATTTCACAGTAAATCTCTCTCATGTCCACGAGTTATACTAGCATGAGTTGGACACACATTAGGCACATCAGGTGTAGGTTACAGATTTATTGTATTTTTTGAAGTTTAATTTTTTAATTTTTAACTTGTTATGTAATATAAATCTTTCATATATTTTGATAGGTTATATGATGTCATATCTCGTTAACTTGATATTTTTAACTTGCCTATATGTCATGACGAATCTGAGCTTTGGTTAGCAGAGGTCCCATTACATTGCTTCAACATTATTGATATGCATTGCCTATATCGAGAATGCAATAATTTGGTTTATCTCAACAAATATCAAATTATATTGATACTAATGATAAACTGTATATTATTAGTTAGGCTAAACTAGATGAGAGTTGTTTAGCGATTCATGGATCTTACCTAGATATTTGGTATGTTAAAATGGATGGTGTTTTTAGAAGTAGTATCCGATGATTGATGTAGATATCTACATGAGATGATACCTAACCATTAAACATCATTTTATTATACCTACCTGATCGTGTTTCCCTAGAATTCCACACAACTCGATGTATTATGCTCCTCGATATTTGAGGCATAATTGATTGTTACACAATATTGTTTTACATGCAATATTTATTAAATATTGTTAATGTTATTATATATGAAGAGTACCAATTGCTTTTTAATGTATGTATATAAATCCATTACTTAGTGTGAGAGGCTCAAAAAACAATAATGGCTATTTGTAATGGTGTCGATGAGATGAGATATATTATGGCCAACAGTATACTCAATTAATGTCATGGTGTATTTTAAGAGATTAAGGATGTTGAGTGTCTTGAAGCAACATTAGTGAAAAATGAGATTGTTTATCATGGGAGCGTTGAGGATGTTGGTTTATCCTCGAGCATGCTAGGCTTGTTTATTAGCTAGGGTGATATTGGTGCTGAAACTTACATATACTTATTTTCGAGTGGGACAAGTTGGGGTGGTGGTGCAAGTCTATCCACGAGCATCCCTGATCCATCCATGAGCTGGGTTATATTGGTCTTCCTTACCCCTACATGGATGCTATAAACTTGTCCTCAAGGTGGACGATTTAAAATGGAGTTCCAAACTTTTCCGCAAGCGCTTTAGACACTTTCATGAATAGAGATGATTATTAGATATAATTACATTAAATTTTATAAAAATTATAAATAGATGTAGTTAGTTTAATTTTAATAAAATATTATATCAATCAGCTATGTGGTATACATCTGACCACACATTAATTGTAGCTTTGGTTGAGTTATGAATATGCGAGACACACACTTTCCATCTACATCCATTATATAGAATGTCACTATGTTGATTAGCCTTCCAATAGATGAAGCACCTATGACAAGACGTATAGGGTTGATTGACAAAGATGCTTTATATATTATTTATTAGTATGGGTGCCTCTAGTAAGTGCTTACAAGGGTGATTACATTAAATGTCCATTGATATGGTTAGACATAAATTTTAAAACTCCCCAATAAATAGGACCACTTGGTTTTATATGCTCAAATATATATATTGAATATGTTTAGAGGTCTTATTTTTACTAGTATTGCAGGCAATGCAATGCTCGTGTTCTTTCTGGTATTACTCGAGGACTTCTAGGCCATTCCTAATTATAGTCAGGGGGATATACTTTTATATCTCTACCAGTAACAATGTAAAGTATGTTTAAAGAATAAAAGATAAATTGCCAAGTGTCTAGTATACTAATTTAAATTCTTTGATTGTTAGAATTAACTATATTTTAAATACTAATTGAGAATTGTCAATGTTAATTAATATAGCTTTAATCAGGGGAGTATATTCATATCGAATATCTAGAAAGTTAGAGTAATAATATGTTTGACATAATCACTAAGAGGCCACTATCCATTTATTCTAGGTAATAATAAAATAAAATAAAATTTAATCAATATGTTATTTATATAAATTGAATGAAAAATGTACTTTGTGGCTTGACATGTTAGGATGGTGTGATGATAAACATTTCACAGTAAATCTCTCTCATGTCCACGAGTTATACTAGCATGAGTTAGACACACATTAGGCACATCAGGTGTAGGTTATAGATTTATTGTATTTTTTGAAGTTTAATTTTTTAATTTTTAACTTGTTATGTAATATAAATCTTTCATATATTTTGATAGGTTATATGATGTCATATCTCGTTAACTTGATACTTTTAACTTGCCTATATGTTGTGACGAATCCGAGCTTTGGTTAGCAGAGGTCCCATTAAATTGCTTCAACATTGTTGATATGCATTGCCCATATCGGGAATGCAATAATTTGGTTTATCTCAACAAGAAATATTTTTACTGTTACAAATATTATGAAAAGCCAAAAAAAAACCTTGGTTAACAGTTCTAATTTTTATTGACTCTAGGGTAAAAGAGTACTTTAATTATATTATAAATTGAAAAGGCAGCATATGCCCCAAACAATTTTCAAATGACTACTGAGGTAGATGAAAAGACCCAAAAACCCCTAGATCAAATACTTAAATTTAAGTCACTAAAGAGTAAAAGGGTAAGGTCTGGTAGTCATGCAAAAAACAAATAAAGAGAAAACAATTCAACTTGATGTATTATGCTCCTCGATATTTGAGGCATAATTGATTGTTACGTAATATTGTTTTACATACAATATTTATTAAATATTGTTAATGTTATTATATATGAAGAGTACCAATTGCTTTTTAATGTATGTATATAGATCCATTACTTAGTGTGAGGTGCTCAAAGAACAATAATGGCTATTTGTAATAGTGTAGATGAGATGAGATATATTATGGCCAACACTACACTCAATTAATGTCATGGTATATTTTAAGAGATTAAGGATGTTGAGTGTCTTGAAGCAACATTAGTGAAAGATGAGATTGTTTATCATGGGAGCGTTGAGGATGTTGGTTTGTCCTCGAGCATCTTAGGCTTGTTTATTAAGGGATGAATTTGAAAAAAAAATACAATAAAAATAACAATAAAAAAAAATGAAGACTATGATATAAAAATATTTTGAAATCAAATGATAATGGACTAAATTGAAAACACATTCAATTAGAAAAAAAAAGATCAAAAAACAAACAACAATTAAAAGAACAAGAACTAAATTTGATATAAAAATTAAATATATGGATGCTATAAACTTGTCCTTAAGGTGGACGATTTAAAGTGGAGTTCCAAACTTTTACACAAGCGCTTTAGACACTTCCATGAATAGAGATGATTATTAGATATAATATTAAGATGAAACTACAAGTTTATCATGCTAACTAGAATTAATATTGATTAATTATTTTAGGTTTTTTTTTCAATTTATTTATTTTGTATTTATTTGAACATTTATTTATCAAGTTGTAGCGATACTGGAGTCACGTATATTGAATGTGATACTTGAGTTGTATATATTATCTATTGTTCGATCAAGTGTGTGGGATCGTCATATATATTTTTGCCTTTGCTATTTTACTAAATTTTTTTTTATAGTGCTAAATTAAAAAAAAAACTCTTTTATACATGGCAAATACAATAAAAATAATAACTTAAATATAATGCAAAGTTAGTATTTAACGAGTATCACAATAAAAAAAACTCTTTTATCAATGGCAAGCACAATAAAAATAGTAACTTAAATACAATACAATGGCGGTAGTCAACTTAAACACCTTCGATTCATGCATCATTTGCTTGGCTTTCATCTTAGTTTGGTATTGCATTTTAAAAAGTGGATAAAATTTGTATTTGTTCTTTAATTTTTTTTATATTTATTCTAATATCAAAAATATTTTTTAAAAATAAAAAATATTATTTTAATAGTATTCAAGTAAAAACACTTTAAAAAGTAATTTCTATTACACTCCCTATCACCCCACCTAACCACAATTCCACCAACTCTCCTTTTGTCTTTTTTTTTTGTCTTCATGATCTTAATTAATAGTTACAAACTAGTATATTGGTCTACACTTCGCAGCGGGTCAATATCACTTTTTTAACAAATATAAAAAATATTAAGAGTCTAAAAAACATTTTAAGCATTTTTGGTCTGGCAGCTATGTAAAACCCAAACAACTTGGATCTGTCAAGAATACTATTTCAAGAGCCTTATGTTTAGTAGCCATGTTAAGTGGCTTGGGTTTAGTGTGGCTGTAAGACTTAAGACATTTGGGTGTAGTAAAAACACTGGACACAAGCTACTCTTTTGTTTTTTAGATTAAAAGCATTATTGTATCATACATGAAAATTATAAAAATCTAAAATATCCTTTTTTGACAACCTATCTTTTTTTGATCTTGGGGGTAAATAAATATTTTACTGTTACAAATATTATGAAAAGCCAAAAAAAACCTTGGTCAACAGTTCTAATTTTTATTGACTCTAGGATAAAAGAGTACTTTAATTATATTATAAATTGAAAAAGCAGTATATGCCCCAAACAATTTTCAAATGACTACTGAGGTAGATGAACAAACCCAAATACCCCTAGACCAAATACTTAAATTTAAGTAACTAAAGAGTAAAAAGGTAAGGTCTGGTAGTCGTGCAAAAAACAAATAAAGAGAAAACAATTATATACTTTAGTTGTCGAAAGAGAGAAAATAAAGAAAAAAAAACAAACAATCAATCACCGACGACAATTCAATCATGATGTGTTAACTCGGGTTAATTTGTTAACCTCGCAACCAATAGTATAGGATTGGGATAGCCCAGCAAAAAAAAGATAAAAAAGGGATCAATTTCCAATAAATTAAATGTTTAAAGATGAAAGCGATTAAAAAAATTAATTTAAAAAAAACCTAAAAAATTGACCATATTCAACATGTGTTAATTTTCAAAACCAGTGACCTTGGTTAAAAGCCCAAAACCAACCCCATAAAAGGCAAGCCCTAGAAAAACTAAATTATAAATCAACAAAATAGTGAGGGATGAATTTGAAAAAAAAAATACTAGAATCTAAAAAACATTTTAAGCATTTTTGGTTTGGCAGCTATATAAAACCCAAACAACTTGGAACTGTCAAGAATACCATTCCAAGAGCCTTAGGTTTAGTAGCCATGTCAAGTGGCTTGAGTTTAGTGTGGCTGTAAGACTTAAGATATTTGGGTGTGGTAAAAACACTAGACACAAGCTACTCTTTTGTTTTTTTAGGTTAAAAGCATTATTGTATCATACATGAAAATTATAAAAATCTAAAATATCTTTTTTTGACAACATATCTTTTTTTGATCTTGGGGGTAAAGAAATATTTTTACTGTTACAAATATTATGAAAAGCCAAAAAAAAACCTTGGTTAACAGTTCTAATTTTTATTGACTCTAGGGTAAAAGAGTACTTTAATTATATTATAAATTGAAAAGGCAGCATATGCCCCAAACAATTTTCAAATGACTACTGAGGTAGATGAAAAGACCCAAAAACCCCTAGATCAAATACTTAAATTTAAGTCACTAAAGAGTAAAAGGGTAAGGTCTGGTAGTCATGCAAAAAACAAATAAAGAGAAAACAATTATATACTTCTGTTGTCGGAAGAGAGAAAATAAAGAGAAAAAAAACAATCGATCACCGACGACAATCCAATCATGATGTGTCAACTCGGGTTAATTTGTTAACCTCGCAACCAATAATATAGGATTGGGATAGCCCAGAAAAAAATAAATAAAAAAAAGATCAATTTCCAATAAATTAAATGTTTAAAGATGAAAGCGATTAAAAAAATTAATTTAAAAAAAACCTAAGAAATTGACCATATTCAACAAGTGTTAATTTTCAAAACTAGTGACCTTGGTCAAAAGCCCAAAACCAACCCCATAAAAGGCAAACCCTAAAAAAACTAAATTATAAATCAACAAAATAGTAAGGGATGAATTTGAAAAAAAAAAATACAATAAAAATAACAATAAAAAAAAATGAAGACTATGATATAAAAATATTTTGAAATCAAATGATAATGGACTAAATTGAAAACACATTCAATTAGAAAAAAAAAGATCAAAAAACAAACAACAATTAAAAGAACAAGAACTAAATTTGATATAAAAATTAAATAAAATTAAATAATTAAGATGAAACTACAAGTTTATCATGCTAACTAGAATTAATATTGATTAATTATTTTAGGTTTTTTTTTCAATTTATTTATTTTGTATTTAATAGGCTAAATATTAAGTTACATCGTTTATCTTTTTTTAGAAAAAAAAATTATTATAATATCATGAAGGTTTTTTAATTTTTGGTATAAAAAACATGTTTATGGCACCTTAAACATCATTTTCTTTTTTTATGAAAAAAGTAATCTGGCCCGTAACATAGCATGTGACCACACCTAGTTTGTCCGATAAGCAAATATGTCATACTTTCCATACAAAAGCTCGGCAAGTATAGTAATTATGCAAACGGATTCAAATCTGCAACGTCTCAAATCAAATTGGAAAAAAACAGCCTAGCCCAGAATATTTGGCAACATAATTTGACTCTGGTCAGTTATTAACTCTGAAGGAAGCTGCATGGAAACTTCACCAAGGGACTCTCTCATTTCTTGGCTGCCACTCAAGTCTCTTCCATAAATAATAGCAATTAACAAGATTCTAGTTTCACCAACTACCCCATTAGCTTTTCACCATTGTAATGGATCAGATTCATCATTTTAGTCGACAGATGTTGAATGGCAATTTGGCAAGACAAGAGGAACAAGCAGACCAAGGAGGATCAATTGTAGGTATTGGCATTGCATCTGTTATGATAGTAATTCTTGTCGTTGTCATTTTTGTTTCCATCTGCAAGTGTTCTATCAGCTTAATCAACTTTCCTTCTAATAATCAACAAAATCGAACAACATCCAACTCATGTTCCCGTGAATCTGATACACAGACCCACCATGAACTTGCAGCCCTCCCAGTTTTTGTCTTTGGAGAGCAATCACCAGCCTCAGCCCCGACGTTGCCACAATCATCATCGTCATCTTCTTCTCCTTTCGCGTTTTCTGATAAAAGCTGTGCAATTTGCTTGGATGATTATGCTCATGGAGAGTTCATAAGGGTCTTGCCTAGGTGTAAGCACACGTTCCATAAGGACTGCATCGATGACTGGCTATCATCAAGAACTTCAAGTTGTCCCATTTGTAGAGACCAAATCATAGACAAGAATGTGGAGTCTACAAGGATATACTCTCCTAACATGGTGGAAAATGTTAATGGATCATTTACTCTGTTTCCTGTCAGCAATAGCACGATACCCAACTGAACGGAGGAGATATGCTTTTCTTTTTTCCTGGTTTGATTGTGAATTATGATAGTCTGATAGGTGTAATTCACGAGCCAGAAGGTTTTTGGATCTTAAGATCTATTATCAAAATTTTTTGTCATTAATGAGGTTTGATTGAATAAAAATCTGAACTTCTAGCGAGTTCTGTTCTAATAAACCTCGCGCACCAAATCCCCTGTGAACAACTGAGCAGAGTTTTGGTTGGATGACAGCGTTCCGTGTTAAATTTGCTATGTGTGTGTGTGTAGTCTGAAAGAAATACCCCATATCTAACAGCATCCAAGAACCACGAAAAATTTTATTCATTGTTTTTCCTGGGAATATCTATTTTTATTTTCATATAATTAAATAAAAAATTAACTTCAAAAAATACATGGAGTATCTTTAGTAATTTCAAGACGTGTTCCTTCTTTTTTATTCTCTGTTGGATGGTTTCTTTGCTCAATATGAACTTGATAAATTTTCAGAATCATCGATTCCATGTTTTTTAGTTTATTAGAAGGTCTGTTCGCTTTTGAGTTGTAAAATAAGGAGCAATCCATTTCTAAATTATCTTTCTTTCTATTGTGAGTAGAATTTGAACACAAGTTTGCTGATAGATGGTACCATGCCAAGTGATTCTAAGCTAAGTAGGAACATTCAATTACTAAGTTATTTTAAGTTCATTAAGAGCCTTTTTTTGAGCCATGTAATGTAGCATACCAAATGACTTTACCAAATATTTTAGTTAGTTAACACATAGGATTTTATATTTCTTTTGTTTTAGGTGAATTAAGAGATAAATTTCATTTGCTAGGTTACCGATTGGGAAACCCTGTCATGCTGATTCTTTTTATATCCCAAAAGAAGGTTTCTAGCCGTTAGTTATTGGATTAGGCCTGGTCCGTCTATGATGGACAAGTCTAGTTCAAATTATTAGAGGAATTATTAAAGGAAATAATTATTTTTTCTAATTATATATAAAGTGACATAACCCATATAAAAGAAGACAAGTTTTCATTATTGAAAAAACATAGTTATCTCTTTCTCTCCTCCCATCTTAACTCTCAGTATTAATTTGATAAGATTTACAAAGACGTTCGTACTGTGAAATATCACTTTAATTTTAGTAATTGAAGTGGTAATGAAGTAATTGATCAAATAATAAAAAAGTGAATTCTCACAAGTAAGTTTTCCTTTCCTATCTATATTGGTATCACAGCCATAGTTTTTAATATTATTTTTATATAGTATATCTATTATCACATGAACGATAGATGTAAATTTTGTGTTAAAGATTACTTCCATAGAGAATTTTGAATTTACAAAATTTTATAAAGTAATTTAGTTATAAATTTGTTTTTTCTATAATTAATTAGAAAATATTTTCTGCATGGTAATTGTATAATTTTATTATCAATTCATGTGTGAATTGATGATGGAAATGGAGATTAAAAACTGCCATTTCCACTTCCATTTACATTTTTAATTTACTACAATTGCAGTAGTCAATTGGACTTTGACAATTAATTAACTGTTATTTGATAATTATTAAAAGAAAAAAACTATCAATTTATCATGTGAACTGATCATTCTAATTGATTGCAATCATAACAACCACTTGGAACTGCTATTTAGCAGTTGAAAAAAAAAAAAACTAAATGAACACAGTTTTTGAAATATATATATATATATAAACTGTCGAATGGGAGTTAACATATACACACATCTTTTATAAGATGTGTATATTAATAATTATTAATAGATATTAATATGAAGAATACTATTAAGATAATTAATATTTTTTGTTAATATAAATTATAAAATAGTGGTGTCGATTTATTTACTGTTAAAATAAATTGCTTAATTTCTGTATTTTTTTTAACATATATGATTATATATGCTTTAATTGAATGTTAAGTATAACATTTATGTGCCTTTTGAAATATTTTGTTGTAATGGATAGGCAACAACAAATTGATCATTTATTAGGTTATGCCTTTAATCCTATTCCTAAAATTTAAGAACACATTGATTATATATGTCATTAGATGAGTAGACTAGTTATGAGTGGTGTTTATGAATTTTACATGGAACATCAAATGTTAATTGTTCTCAGTTCTCTACCTGAGGAATGGATGTCAATGCGACTATTGTTGGAATATAAGCTGGAATCCTTAGATTTCAACAATCTTGCTGATGAAATGCTACTTGAGAGGGAATGTCAATATGCTAAAAAGGGTATACGATGCACTAGAAGAAGTTATGTTGTTAAAGTACCTTATGCCAATGTCGTTGGTAGTTTGATGTATGCAATGATGTGCACACGTCCCAATATATGTTATGTTGTTGGATTGGTTAGCCGATATCAATCAAACCCTGGTCAGAAACACTAGAAGGCAGTAAAAAAGGTTTTACGATATCTGAAAGGAACTTCAAATTACATGCTATGTTACCAAGAAAAGAAAGATTTACGATTGTTTTGTTTCTTTGATGCTGATTGGGAAGGAGATGTCGACTAATCTAAATCAACTTCAGGATGTGCTTCCTTGCTTAATGATAGTGCAATACTATGAAGGAGCAAGAAACAATCCTGTATAGCCTTATCTACCATGAAGGTTGAGTATGTAGCTTGTTCTACAGTAGCACAAGATATTGTTTGGTTAAAAAAAATTCCTGTATCATTTGAAAATTTTTAACTCAACATCAAACCCAAAAACAATTTATTGTGATAACATTGTTGCAATAACTGTGGCTAAAGATTCAAAATATCATGGAAAGACCAAACACATCAAGATGAGATATCAATACATTAGAGAAGCAATTACTGAACAAGATGTGATTCTAAAACACATTTCTATAAATTTTATAGTTGTAGATCCACTCACAAAACCAATAGCAAGGGATGTATTTGTTAGACATGTGAGGTCACTTGGTTTATGTAGAATGTAATTAGTAATATGATTAGTTTTAATGATTATATGAAAGCTTACAGTGATTGAGTAATGAATAAATACCATTAGAATATCATTTTATTCATTATTTGTTTCATGAATTATATTGAGTATCGTATAGTACAATTTGTTGAAGTATGTCAATAGATTTAGATTGGCTCGCTCATATGAGCAATCACATCTAGCACTTGTAATGTAAGTAGAGATGAGATTATTTGAGTTTTAATGCTCAATAAGCGACTTAGACGCAGTGAAAGTAATTTTAACTCAAAATGATTATTAAAAAAATCACCTTGGCTAGGACCAAGATGAGATTCTTAAATAAAAAAATCGGCATGAATGAATTCTTGCCATTTATGTGTTTATTATGATTGAAGCCAAGTATGGAATTATTCATTTGCCACTAATAAAAAATAAGTAAATGAGAATTTTTAATTTGAAGTTTATGTTTTTAGCAACAAGACTAAGACTCAAATAATGTATTTCCTCTAACAAGCAGAGTAATGGCATACACCTTTTGTCTTAAGAAAAGAAAAGAGCAAGCTTTACTATAACATGTATTTCATACTATATGTGCTAGCGGCCATTACAGGAATAAAAGAATGGACCCCTACTTTTTTATTATGTGACTCTTGAAGATCGATCTCAAAATCTTACCCTTTGTGACTTTTGACTATATCATGAGGTGATGTATTAATGATCGCTACATTAGGAGTATATCCTATAATCATGGAATGATTCGACTTAAAGGAATACTCTTAGAAAAGTGAGTTAATTCAAATTTGATTGATATGAGAGGGAAATAAAAAAGTAATTTTAGTTCTACACCTATTATTTGTATTCACTGGTCGGGATCATATCACTTGAATAAATTTGATATGATTTAGAATACTTGTAATTGGAAGGATATATTAAGTATGAAATTCTTAAGGGATTGAATTATATTCAGTCATGTATAACTAAAAATACTTGAGGTATATTACTACACTTTAAGGAATAATTAATTATGAGGTTGATGTCTCCTATATGACCTGTGTTAAGTTTATATATTGAAGCTCTTTTCACTGTGCTTTAGGTTGCACAGTTCGTTTTTCAAGTATGAAATTCTTGTGCAAGCTTGAAGTATAATGTATTAGAGAGATTCAGTCCTTCATGGACGAGTGATAGATGTTGGCTATTGGGTTAGGTCTGGTCCGCTCATGATGGATGAACCTGGTCCAAGTTATTAGAGGAGTTACTAAAGAAAGTAATCGTCTCCTCTAATCATATATAAAGGGACATAATCCATATGAAAGAAGATAAGTTTTCATTATTAAAAGAACATAGTTATCTCTTTCTTTTCTCCCATCTTAACTCTCAGCATTAATTTGACAAGATTTACAAAGACGCTCGTATTGTGAAATATCACTTTGATTCTAGTAATTGAAATGGCACTGAAGTAATTGATCCATGAATAAAAAAACGAATTCTCACAAGTAAGTTTTGCTTTTCGATCTACATTGGTATCACAACCATAGTTTTAATATTATTTTACATAGTATATCTATTATCACATGAACGATAGATGTAAATTTTATGTTAAAAGATTACTTCTATTGAGAATTTTGAATTTACAAAATTTTATGAAGTAATTTCTTTATGAATTTGTCTTTTATATAATTAATTAGAAAAGACTTTCTACATGATAGTTGTATAATTTTATTATCATTTCATGTGTGAATTGATGATGGAAACGGAGATTAAAAACTGTCATTTCTTTCCATTTTCATTCCCAATTTACTACAATTGCAGTAGTCAATTGGACTTTGACAATTAATTTATATATATATATTAATTGACGAATGGAAAATACAAAAGCACTCGAAGCTTCAAGGCAAGTTTTTTTCTTGGAAGGTCATAGACACCGTTTGACTATTATAATGAATAATGGATTGTCTGTGTGGCTCAAAAGAACCTCCCCTTCCTTTTTAGTTTTTTTTAATTAGTTTTACTACTACTACTACTACTACTACTATTATCATTATTATCACCATTATCGTGTCTTCTCCTTGGCAAAGAGAAATTTTATCATTTAACTATATCCGTATTTTTTTTTATCTTGGTATTGACATGCATTACTTGGATTTTATTTGTGAATAACTATGCCAAATATTATACATCTAATTACATATTATATTTAATGGACTATATCTAATATATTTACATTTATATAATAGATTT